AGTAGAAACCACCTTTATGTCTTCGTGTTTGTAGTCACCAATTTGTTCTTTGCTGAGGACTTTTCTTTACAGTCCTTTTCTTTGCGACTTTATTTTCCCTAACTTTTGCCTGAACTAATTCTTTTGAATTGATAGTCCAGCGGGATGCCTTAATTTTGCCTAAGTCACACGTTTTCATGTTTTTTGACTTAGCAGGCTTTTTCTTTTTCTCAATTTTTTTGATTTCTTTTGAACAAAATGTGTGACATTAGCTTGTCTTTGCTTGTTGAGAGGATTGTGATTGCCTCGTTTCTTGATGAATGAGGGTTAACATTGTGGTTCCACATCCTCTAGATTCATTATACATGAAGGATAGCCCTCGTAGTTTCTCTTCAAAAAACATCTTCCTTATGAATTTTGAACACTCAGTCAGATTAACTAAAAACTACCCTGCCCCAGGTTAAAATTCAAGTTTTTTTCGTATAGAAAAGAAACTTCTGCTTCAAAGGCTCAAAAGGGGTTAGCAAGGGATTATCTTCCTTATATCTCTGGTGATTAGGGATTTGAAATAATGCCTGTACATTATCAGCAAGATTTTATCCAAAAGCATGCAACCAGAGATTTTGTGTTCTTTAGATCATCATCCTCCCCTCAATCTCTGCCTAGGCAAGAGAATGAGCAACAATTTGGTATCATAGTGCAAAAGCAATTTAAAATTTGAAAACAAATATGAGTGAAACGAATGAATTTCTTCAAGACAAACATACTCATTGTATTAAGATAATCATTCAGATGCAAACAAGTTCTTACATGCAAACAATGTTTTGATAAACAAGAAAAATTACAAAAAGCAAAGATAAGTTAATGATCGCGGAAGGCTTTCCATCTGGACTTGAATTACCGAAAACATCCTTCAAAAATCAAAGTCACCATCAATCGTGTTTACTCTTCGGCACGTGCTTGATTTGAGCCTCAAAACCAACATCCTTGAATGACAAGATACAACTTCTGACCAACTTCTGAACCTCAATCTTCAAAGCAAAGCAACCCTCCAAGTCATGCCCAGGAGCACCTTGATGAAAAGTACAAGCTAAATCAGCTTTGTAGTACCAATGTATCTTCTCAGGAACCTTCGGTGGAGGTCGGGTCTGAACCAAATTCCTCTGCATCAGGATAGGAACAACTCTGTATAGGTAATTGGAATTGGATCAAACTGGGTTTTCCTCTGATTAGGAACTTGCTGATTCTGTTGATGAATAAGAGAAACATGATGATTCTGACAATGATTATTTCTTCCTCTGGTTCTCTTCTTGGAAAGGTCATTATCAAACTTCTTCACACTATTAGCTGAGCTACCATCTTCATATGAACATCCCTTCCCAACATCTTCTTCTAGACGCACTCCCACAATCACCTTGTCAGGAAAGTCATTAGGTGTATTAACCATCACCTTCTCATGAGAGAATGATTTCAGAGTTTCAGTGAAGACTTTTATCATCGCTTCCTTCCTCCTAGAAGGACTGACTTGGGCGGTAACCAAAATTTCAACCCAAAACAGTCGAGTGATCCATACCAGCTTTCAAAATAGTCATCTCTCTACGGAGTTCAGAAACCTCTTGCTTGATATTCTCCATTGTCCTCTTAGCGCGAGCGTTGTACTAGTGAGACCAAAGGAAAAATAAGACTTGGAAAAAGACCTTTGAAAGTGAAATAAAAAATGTAGAATGATACATGATATGCAAAAGAGAGTTTTTATTTGATTTTCAAGGAACTCAAGATATTAAGTTGTAAACATCAAAGTATGAAGATAGAAGATGAATTTTAAATTGGCTCCAAACATTGATCAAGTTATCATCAAGATCAATCATCCATTTTGGTGGATTAGGGTTTTCTCCCTATCAACACCCAAGATCCATTGAGCTTGACGAAACTTGTGATGTTTACAAAGAAAGACCTCCAAATTCCTTCAAAGCCAAGTGAAAAGGGTTTTATGGATGTATGAATGCATGGCTATGCAACAACCACAAGCAAGGTCACAAATAAAGTCGAAAGGTTCAACGTCACGAGCATGGAGTCTAAGGTAAAGAACATCCCCAAGGTATGTACTAACGGTTTAATCACACCTGTAGAACAAGGTTCTAAGAGTTCCCGGAGTCTACATTCCTCCTTCGGATATTACCAACATCTTGATTACTCAATAATCAGCAATATTCTCAAGAGAAACTCATCCGAGCGTAGCATCGCGGAACAATTACTTCCGGATTACTCCGTTATAATCTCCGCACTACACCTAAAAGGCCAAGATGGGTTAGGGTTCTACGGTTCCCAGGTCGAAAATAATAATGTCTTCCCGATTACTCGGTAAACAAATATTACGTTCAAAAGGGCCTTCCACTGAGTGGGGGATCTCATGCCTCCTTCTTCGGGATTACTCCCTCAAAGTTAACATGACTATACTGCCCGTCCTATTCCTAAGTGTAACTTAGTCCGGGTATAGGACTTGTCCTTTGTAAATATTATCAACACCCAAATAAATCATAATATATACATATAATCAAACAATCAAATAATGATAAAACAGATAAAACAAATTAGGCTTAACCCACTTAGGGATGGACCAGCAAGAGGTCAATCTAAGTCCCCAGCAGAGTCGCCAATTCTGTAGCGGTGAAAATCAGAGATCAAGCTATTAATTAACTTGACTCGCAAAAGCAAGAGTCGCCACCACACTTTATTATTTCCAAGGAAAAAGGGAAAAGAGCGAAATAAAACCCTAAAATATGCAATGTATAATAATACTTAAAAGTAATGAAAATACAATGCGTTTTGAAAAGAGATCGAGAGTTCGGGGGTTGGTTATACAATGGGAAGGTATTAGCACCCAATGCATCTGCGGTACTCCGCATGAACCTTTTGAAATATCTGTTTTTTGGTTAAAATTGTTTGTTTGATTAAAATGATTCGTTTGGCTAAAAGATGGGTATGGACGATATTTTTGAAGATACGACGACCTAGTGTCGAAGTTTTGACTTAAAAGGTGTGAGTTTGAAATTTGAATCTTTTAGGAAAATCGACTTAATTTTGGAAAAAATAGTAAATAGGAAAAAAATGAATGAGGGTGTTCGCTTGATCGGATGAGATGTATTTGATGACGTGAAGTCAACAAATTTAAATCTTTCCCTTGGAATTAAAACCACAGACAGATAAATAAGCTAAGAGTATATCAAACCTCAGGTGAAAATAAATCACAAGCCGACAACATCAAAAAAACTGGTGTAAGATAATGCTCCAAGCGTCAGATAAAGCGCAAAGGGGATGGATAAAGTTCACGGTATCAGATAAGAATCCCTGCATCACAAGATATATATCGACAAATCTAACAGCACAGGGAAACTTATGCGCGTCCGCACAATTTTCAGAAGTTAGTTGGAATTAAAATAAAATCACAATGCGATGAAAATAATATTTTTAAGAAACCTGAATTTATTCACAAGTAAAATATACAGTCAAAATATTATGTACAAGTATATATTTACAGTACCAAACATTAAATCAAAATAGTAAGGTAAAAAAAGAATAATAAAAAAGTATAAATGCGCTATGCGAGAACGAACACTTGAAACAGTTCTTGGAAACCTTCACAATAAACAAACTTGTTAGTAGCATAAGCGGTACAGAAATGAAAGTGAATGAAATTGCAACAATTAAAATCTATGTTAGAAATCACAAATTAAAGAATTGAAATGAAATTGTATGAATGCACATGAATATTTACACAAATAAAAATCAAGAATTCATAACATTATTCCATGTAAACACAAAAAAATCAACATTGTGCACATTATTTCAAATGTATCAAAAGCAACCGCTATTTCAAGCACAACGGAAAACAAATATCCAAAGCTCACTTTGCAACATGAGAAATTGAATTCAAAACATGAACCAAATAAATGATGATTACTCAAAGTACCCAACAAAAATCAACATGGCATTCAATGTTCTAAACACATTTAAACTCAAGTAAACACAATGTTGAACATGGTCATCAATTCATTTGAGATTCACATTGCAATTTACATCTTATATACAAGAAGTTAGAAATGATTCATATGCATACACATTATGTACAATAGAACCACTTTGATAAACTAAAAATTAATATAAAATAATTGAATAATAAACTAAACATTTAAAATTTTAGAGATTTATCTATGAGAGAATAAATTAACTAGACTATAAATAATAAAATAAAAATTAATTTTAGAAAGGAAGATAAGAAACACAAACAAAAGCAAACCACCCCCATTTTTTTAACAGTAAAACTAAAATACAATTGAACATCTCGTGACTTTTCAAAATCACATGAAAAACAAATAATCCATGAAAAGTAGCATATGGCAAAGCATGAAAAATGTTATGAACATAAACCAGTAGAAAACATATTAACAGACCAAATCCAAAGCAAACTTCTTCGTTCTTCTTTCAAAATTTTATCAGCTTCTATATTTTATAATCATCAATCCAGCTAATAATTTGTGTCCATTCATGAGAAAAATATTTGAATTCACATATTGAAAAAACAACATACTAAAAATATTTCAAGCTTCTCATAAACTTAACCTCTAAAATATGTTATCAACACAAATTCATTATCAATTAATTTCACATTGAGCATCATGACATCAACACTATCTAGCATACTCATCTCCGCAGACACAGGCAAAATCAAAATCATTTACCTTAAACAAACACAGTTAGTAAAGAGATCGAAACATACCAAAAAAATGAAATCGGAAATTGATGGTGCTGGAAATCGCAGAATAGGTGTAGGTACTACATGTGCACTCTTTGACCCCGTGAAAGCAGTGAGTATGGTAGCACCAAATACTTCTTCGCCACACCAGACCCAATATCCAAAATAACTATTACACTGCAATCAAGCATATCCCATTCGAGATCGACGCAAAAACCTTGTACAGAAGCCAATGAAATATGAACTATAATAAGATATGTTGAGGGGTTTAGAGACCCTGTTCAACGAGATAATCACCAAGCCTTTCAACTACCATGTTGCACTGACCAGGGGTCATTGGTTCATCATAAATACCAATGACCAGAGCCCAGAGTGGTCTTCTTAACAGTAACACCACCAGGACCCTTCTTCCCTCGAATAACAGCTCCAGGTTCACCTTGAATCACCATATATTTAGTTCCACCAATGTGTAATCCAGTTGGAGCAAGTGTTCCAGGCTCAGCAAAATCATTATTGATAGCAGTAATTTCCTCAGGCTTAAACTGAGGGAAATTGGCGCTCTGAGCCCAAACGCTGCCGTCTTGACCGAGGATAGCTGCATGAGTGAGATGGTTACCTTCGATTTCACAGAGAAGGTGATCATCGACGTAATTTTGCCACGACATGGTTGAAGATTAGAGAGATTTTCAAAAAAGCGATTATTTCTCGGAAAAGAGATTATTGAGTTTGAGTGTGTGAAGCTGTGTCGTTGTTGGCAGATGGTTGTTAATGACGGTAGATGAATAAGCTGGGGGAAATCGGATGATGGAGCTTGTCGATGAGATGACATCCTTGACAGAGAGTGAGTCGAAGAGTTGACGGGCGTGGGACAAACGGGGGCCGGGATGTAGTTTGAAGTAGAGAGTGAGGAGGCTATTGCCGACGAAGCGGTCAGAGTGGAGTCCGGATTTGAGGACGTGGGTGTGGACGGAGGTGCCGTGGTGGAAGGAGGAGGTTTTGACGCAGGTTTGGAGGAGGGAAGCGTAGATGACGGGTTTGAGAGAGAGGGTGGGGAGTTAGAAGAGGAGATGGTATGGTTGTTGAAGAAAAGGGGAAGACAAGAGGACGGTGAGGGAGATGAGTGTTTCAGTCTTGGTGTTTGGTGGGAGATCTGTGAACGTAACTGGTGGAAGGAAAGTGTGTGAAATGGAATTCGGAAGGGATTGAAGAACGGTGGTCTGTGCTTTGGAAGGTGGACCTGCGTTAGGGAGGACGAAGGTGATATGTAGGTTTTGATGAAGAGGGATTTTTGGAAGAAAGAAAGAATATAGTGAGTGGAGGAAATCACGGAAGAAAGAAGGAGAGGGGTGTGTTAGAGATATTGCTTTTGCCATTACAGATATTCTGGAAAAAAAAGCACTTGTAGCTTTGAAACGACTAGATTGAAAGTCTTGTTTTTGTTGTTTGTCCCCCTGTACAAAGTGAAAAAAGATGCCTAAAAATAGAGAAAATGAAGAGGGATATTATCATTTCAAAATAAATCCAAGCCGTTCAATATAAATCCAATCTCTATCAATCCGCAAACCATGCTTTCGACCAATGAGAATTAAAATAAATCCAAGCCGTTCAATATAAATTCAATCTCTATCAATCCGCAAACTATGCTATCGACCAATGAGAATTAACGAAGCCTAATTAATATTTTTTGTGACCGAAAAGTCCATGAATGACCAAAATAAAAATAAAATCCTGAAAATAAAACAATTTAAAATAATTTTTTTGAAATTTTTCTGAATAAAAAGATAAAGACCCAAAATAACCGAAAACGATAGAAAAAGGCGGACGAAAATTTATCCGAAAAAATAAAATGAACACATTAGAAAAATCTACATGTCACAAAGATTAAATAAAAAATATTCAAAAAGTCGAAATCAAAATAAAATGATAATAAAAATATCGGGCTAAAATAGATGTTTAAGGTTAAAAACGAGACTTCAAGCTGTACCGAAAAATAAAGCGAGCATACCGTCATAATCTATGCGAAACGCAGATTCATAAAATGATCGGTAAAAGGTGAAAATTTGAAATATTTTCTCGCTAATTTTCCGCACAATGTCGAACCGCTTTTAACAATTTGTCTATAAAACCGAAATATTTTGATTATCGACATATAAACAACTTGGAGCCATGCAAGAAAATAGTGAACAGGTAAAAATGAATGAAGTGAAATGTCAGGTATTTTACAACTGAAAGACGATGCAAACTTTGATTTAAACTGACTTTTTCTGGTCAACCTAAATACGACTAATGATGCAAAATGCGATGAATGAAGGTATTTACTAATGATTGTGACCAAATGACAAAATATGGTATGAATGTGCGACTGAAAAAATTAGGGGCGAAATTAAGGGTGCAACGGTGTGCCTTGATGAATCAGTCTTCGAGAATCCACAATCAACCGTACTTCTGGCTAGGGAGACTCAAAACCTTAATTGAGGCGCGACACCTGATGCTCTTGATTCAGACCTGTCTCTGCACATGAAACAAAAGAAAACATGAACATACACCTTTGCATGCGATTAGAAATTAGTGATACATAGGCTAAAAATGTTCAAAACACTTGACAATCTTCGCATAGTCAAAGCTCAAAGGTGAGACGTTAAAACCGACTATATTTCGTGACCTTGACTTATGCAAAAATAAAAATGGGATCTTAGGTCAAAAATTGGGGTACAACAGCTGCCCCTATTTAAGTTTCTTCTATCTGGAGATATGAAGATTGGGATCTTCATTTCGACGAGATTGAAGGGACTTAAATATAGAATACACAATTTTTGGCCTTAAGATACCGCGATTATGTTCATGATATGATATGAATGTAATGCTCTGTATTTTATGGGGAATGACGCCATATGAGACAGACTATGCTGGAGAAACCAAGCACATTATACAATAATCCCACAAAGGAAGAGGTTGTAACTCCACTGGGGAAACAAAGTCATAGACTTCAAATGAGAGACTCTTGAATGATTTACATCAGTATTGGGACTGGAAAAGGTAATGATTTACATCAGTACTGAGACTGGAAAATGATTAACATCAACACTGTGACCGAAAAAGGAAATGATGGACATCAGTACTAAGATTGGAAAAGGAAATGATGGACATCAGTACTGAGACTGGAAAATGATTGACATCAGCACTGTGGCTGGAAAATAAAATGATTGACATCAACACTGTGGCTGGAAAACAAAATGATTGACATCAGCATTGTGGCTGGAGAAGGAAATGATGGACATCAGTACTGAGACTGGAAAATGATTGACATCAGCACTGTGGCTGGAGATAAACATCTCTGATTTCTGAATTTTACCAAGAACGGTAACACATTTCTTCTCTGACCAAGATATCGCTTGAAAAGGATAAAATAAAAAACTTCCCCACGGGACTCTTCCGAAGGGATGCCATTTGCTGAGTAGACATTATTGTTGGGGATACACAAGCTGCTCAAATAAAGAGGCCGCCACTTGCTTCCTTTCAAAGGTGTCAATAACATACAAGCTGCTCATGAAGAGACCGCCACTTGCTGTCTTCAAAGAATATTAAAGCACACAAGCTGCTCATGAAGAAGCTTCCACTTGTTGTCTTCAAAGAATATTAAAACACACAAGCTGCTCATGAAGAGTCCGCCACTTGTTGCCAAAAATCCACAAGCTGCTCATAAAGAAGCTGCCACTTGCTGCCAATAATCCACAAGCTGCTCATAAAGAAGCTGCCACTTGCCGTTTTCAAAAAAGTGTTGATAACATACAAGTTGTCCATGAAGAGACTGCCGCTTGCTGTTTTTTTTTTAAAAGTGTTGATAACATACAAGTTGTCCATGAAGAGACTGCCGCTTGCTGTTTTTAAAAGTGTTGATAACATACAAGTTGTCCATGAAGAGACTGCCGCTTGCTGTTTTTGAAAGTGTTGAGAGCATACAAGTTGTCCATGAAGAGACTGCCGCTTGCTGTTTGTCAAGAGTATCCATAACACACAAGTTGCTCATGAAGAGACTGTCGCTTGCTGTTTCCCCAAAAGATACCCATAAAATATCGTGAAGATATTGCTGGAGGTGAGAATCAATAATTTCATCGAGGATGGACAAACTGCTCATGAAGAGACCGCCATTTGTCGTAGAGAAATCAGAAATAATCAAACTACTCAAATAAAAAGTCAGTCGCTTGTTGTCATGTCGATATTCCAGAAGAAGGTTGTGATAACACTACTGGGGAATAAAGTTCATCTTCAATGGGGGACCATGAATAAATCCTTCTTGAGGAAACCAAGTATTTAAATTGCAAAGTAAATGCACTCTTCATCTAGGTTTCAACAGCCTAGAGAGATCCACAGGGTATCGTTCACAAGAGACAAAGCTCAATCCAGGAATAAACTGGAGAGAAAATAATCAAACAAGAATCCAACCAATGAGGAAACAAACTCAAATGGGGATTTATCCTATCCAGAGATGGAAAAGGAAAGGTAAAACAAGATTCTTCCACGAGAGTTAACTCAGTGGGGAATTAGAAAAGAGGCGCACTTTCTGCTTAAGTTGACACTCTATTTGGAAAGATCAAATATGCTATTTGAATAGACATAACCAAGGTATACGAACTCAATGACATCAACAAATAAAACTGTGCGTGCATGATGCAAGTGTGAATGAATAAATGAATGCCATGTATGTGCTGACAAAACAAATAGACAAGATAAACTGGAGATGATAAGACATCATAGCACAACCCAACACTCGGCTAATCTCAACAGGATGGGAACATTACTGGAGATAAAACACAGGCCATCATTGGATCAAGGTCCTTTTACAAGGCTTAAATATCTCTGGAGAGGAAGATATTTTCAGGTATAAAACCCAAAGTCCAGTCTTCTATTGCAAACAATCCATTGAAAGGATAACAACACAAACAAAGTTTCAGCTGGAAAGAAGTCTTGCTTAGCTGGAGATACTGGGAACACCACCCTCTGATAATGTATGAAAAACATATCTTGACAAATCTGGATTGCCCCTGGGATTAATTTTGGATGCCCTAAGTTTACTACTGATAAGCTGCATGTTGCACGACAATTCTTGCGAATAACTTCACTTCTAAAATGCCCCAAGCTATATGGTTGGTGAGGAGAAATAATCTCAAGAGGATTTTACAAAAGACTTGGCATCCATCGTGCTCTGGTGTCTTCAAACTCTTAGAGAGATTCATCAAATCTCGACGTGATTGCCCCAGATTGACTGTAGTTGGCACAACAAAGTCTTCAAATTTTGCCCCAAAAGAGTAAACAAGTTGGGAAAGCGTTAATTAGGAGAAGCAACATGTCCGTGCTTAAGGTCTTCAGGTGACATGCCGCTGCATATGATTTTGTTCTTGAAATAATTCGCCAATTGCTCAACATAGTTTCAGGCCTTAAAAGAATAAACGCATCACTGGTTCTTATATGTGAGTTTCCTTGATATCAAACACATGTTTTGCAGTTAGAAAATTTTATTATGAGAATGAAAATTCTAATGCAACAGTTATGTAAGTCTTGAAGATTTTGAAAAGATATCGCACAAATTTTACGAGTTAGAGCATCATTTATTTTTGTATAGGAAAAACATATGATACCAACATAACTATTTAGAACATTCATGGGA